AGAAAAAGTTCCTTGTAGTATGATGTTTTTCAGAGCCTACCATCAGGGGTAACTTCTAAGGCAAAGAGAGAGCACTGTGGTGAGAGGGATTGGTGAGAGAGCCTGGATGATGTCACCCATCCAAGAGCAGGAGTCAGTGTGAGTCCTCTGACAGGCAGCAGCTGTCAGGGTCTAATATGAATAGACAGCAGCTGCTGAGTGAGGCTTCATGGGGTGTGCGAAGCAGCCAGTGAAAGAGATGAAAAGATGCTTGTTTGGACTATTTGAAAAATAACTCGATGTGCAAAAACTTGAGTTTGGTGCCAGACAGCTCTTGAGCTAATGGACTCCCCTGCAGAGAAGAAAATAAGCCAGGGACTTTCACACAGATGTCTCCCGGGGCATATTTCTTTCGGTCATTTTTGTATTTATATTCTTTCTGTGTTTGAGGAAATTCTCTTCTGTAAGTTTGTAACGTTGTGGATCTTGAATGATGTCAAATAAAACTTTCTTTTTCTATTTAAGATGGTCCTTTACATAGGGTTGAATACTATGATTGGGTTTTAACATTTTTACTAGTGCCCATTCCCTTTTCATTGTGTGTTGTGGTGGCAGGGTTATACACTCTTGTCTATATGGTTTGCACACTAGGTTGTGGTGCCTGCAAATATAGCTATGGTGGTTTTCAGTGGTCACACACTGGTTGTAATGGAGACCACAAGTGACATTGCCATCAGAACTGTGGTGGTATGGGAGCTAGCCAGGAGGGAGGGGCTGCACATACATCCCAAGTGGGCTCAGCCCGAGATTAACCTCACCTGGAGCTGTGGTATGGGCATAATTTTTCTTTAAGTTTTTGAAAAATTCACTATAACAGCCCTGACATAAAGCTTGTGTGTGTGTAGGTGTGTGAAGAAGACTGACAAAAATTTTAATTTTATTTTTTGCTCAGTATCTTTCATTAAAAACATAAAAGTAGAATCACTGTGAAATACAAAGTTAATGACCGAGCTTCATCTGTACAAAGTTCCCACACCACACTGCCTTCACCAGTGTCTGCTTCCTTTCACCATTGTCCCCAGTTTCCCTCTTGCCTCTGAGCCTGCCTCTATAAGCAGACACTTTTTTTCCTTTTTTTCATTTTAGGCACTGTGGTTTACAACACTATTACTGCTAGAGGGTATCATGCATGTCACTCTGCCTCCTTTCAGTGCCTGTTCCTTGTCCAGAATGACCACTTCCATCTACCGATGACAAATTATATTTCATTAATAACATGTTAAGTTTGTAAACTGCCCACTAGAGTATTAGTCAGAAACCTGAGGGAAACTTTAGATACACAAAATTTGTAGCTCCCATCTTTCATTCTTTCCAAGTTTGGATTCTCCTTAGATTTTGCAGAAGTGATAATCTCTCAAAACTGTTTTCTGGAATCTCAAGCCAGAAGAATGACATATTTTCAGAGATATCCTCCACATGTGGTGCAGACCATATCTTACCTCAGTGTGCACTCAAGAAAATTCATAATAAAAGGAAATTTACCATACCAGAATAAATACACCTACTTTGGGTTGTTTTCCAAAGTCTCTGATCAGTCTTGGTTATCTGACAGAGTCTTTAACTCTCAGAGTTTCGTGTAAAGGGTTTACTCAGCCACACAGGGTATGAAGTTTCTCTAACCCTTTTTTTCCCTTCACAGCTAGAGATACTTGGGAGGTACTCTCAGCTCTGTGTTCAGATGTTGCTCCAAGCAGTGCTTGGGGACCATGCAGTGCTACAGATTAAACTTGGGCCGCCTCCACCTCATCCTCCCTCCTCCTCCTCCTCCTCCCTCTCCTCCTCTCTCTCTTCCTCCTCTCCCTTCCCCTCCCCTACCTCCTCCCTCCCCCTCCTTTTTATACCCCTCTTTCCCCTCTCCTTAACTCTCCCTTTCCTCCACCTCCCCCTGCTTCTTCTCCTTCTCTTTTTTTTTGGTCTGGGAGGAGGAAATCTATTGCTTTCTCTCTAGCCACCTCTGTCACCTGGGGAAAGACTGGGGTAATCTAGGACTGATAAAAATTTGCAGGATAGTATAGTTAGTCCTAGATCTTACCCAGGCATTTCCAGTACTTGCCTTTCTCTCAGTAAAGAGTTTCAGGAGGAGACAGATACTGAAGTAAAAATGGTTATATTTGAAAGTTCTGAGGGGCTTGGGGGAAGTGATATATATATATATATATATATATATATATATATATATATATATATGAGAGAGACTCTTGAGAGTAAGGGAAAGGGAGAACGTGGGTTTCTCCAGAGCAGACAGAGCCCTAGTACAAATCTTGCTGTTAAAGTATGAAAGTACATAAGTCAAGGGGGAAAATGTGGGTGATGTATGTTGGGCAGCAGCAACAGATGTGTTTGTGTGATGTATGTGCTCAGGCAGTACATACATGTGTGCCGAACCTTCATTTTGAAATCTAGTTGCAGTGAATTTACAATTCTTTGTTAAGATTTTTTAAATTCTTTTTCCATATATACTTTGTTATTCTATTAGCATTCAACCATCATAGTTTCAGCTGAGAAATCATTCATTATTTCCCTACCAATAAATTCTCATTCATATGTGCTTCTTTCAGTGTTTTCTTGCTAATGCCATCTTTTAGCAGTTTAGATATAACGTGTCAAGGTTAGTGTCACTCTACTCATGCTTAGGATTACTTAGAATTCTTGTATATAGAAATGTGTCACCACATTTTGGAGATATTTAGTGATATTTAGTGATTGACTCCCAAAATAGGGGTTGAGAGGAATAGCGCCAAGGCCTTAGAATGCTACTGGTATATGGTTATAAGTTTCAATCCTTTGAACAACATGTGTGGAACACAATGCAGGTGGCTCTGCTGTTTGGGCCTGGCAGCTCTGCTCTGTGATTCCTGATGCCTCTATGATTTCAGCTGCACCTCAGCCAGGTGTGTGTGATCAGCAGAACAGGGACGGGATTGTGAGAGCATGGCAAAATAAATAAAAAGATGTGTAAGTGCCATGGCCAGAAGCAGCACACAGCCCTCCGCAGAGCATCACCACCTACCTTGTGTGCTGCAGCTTAAGTGTGAGCCTCAGTGGGTGTAACAGTGCAAGGTTAAGGAGCACACAGCTTCGTAAGCATCATGGCTGAGGGTGCAAACACTGCAATCTGGGGCCTCCTGCCAGATCCACAGTCAGGTATGTGTGCAGCCCATGTCAGTCATTGCAAAAATATCTCAACCAACAAGGAAGGAGAGAAGTGAAATATAGTAGCAGTGTAGTACTGTCCTCCTGCTGTTCATTGGTTTGCTCAAGCGGGCACCAGTAACCTCTTCATTGTGAGATTTGTTGTTACTGTTTTTGGCATATTGAATACGCCATTTGTAGCTTGCCAGGCTCTGCCGTGAAATATTGTAGCACTACACTGTCCTTCTGTTGTTCATCAATTTGTTTGAGCGGGCCCAGTAACATTGTGAGACTCGTTGTTACTGTGTTTGGCATATCAAATATGTCACTTACCAGGCTTTGCTGTGCGTAGCTTGCCAGGCTCTCCGAGAGGGGTGGAGGAATCGAACTCATGTCAGCCAGATTGACCACGTGCAAGGCAAACGCCCTACCTGCTGTGCTATTGCTCCAGTAGTAAAGAATATATTTAAAAAGAGAAAACAGGGGCTGGAGCGATAGCACAGCAGGTAGGGCATTTGCCTTGCATGCGGCCATCCTGGGTTCGATTCCCAGCATCCCATATGGTCCCCCAACCACCACCAGGAGTAATTCCTGAGTGCAGAGCCAGGAGTAACCCCTGTGCATTGTTGGGTGTGACCCCCAAAAATAAATGAAAAAAATCACTATCACTATCACCCTGTTGTTCATCGATTTGCTTGAGCAGGCACCATTCGTCCCTGTCACGTGCTAGTGTAGCCCAATGGCATACTGGGGGCTCTTTCAGGGTCAGGGGAATGAGGACCATCATTGTTACGGTTTTTGGCATATTGAGTATGCCACAAGTAGCTTGCTAGGCTCTGCCGTTATTTATTTATTTATAAATTTAAAAAAATAAAGAGAAAACAAACGAGAATCAAGTATAGATAAATGAATGTAGAAAAAGAGAATTTGGGTTTACTTACCAAAAAATAAAAGAGAATTTGAAATGGCTATTTTTGGTTAGTAAAGCTCATTTCACTAAGAAATTAACTAACTTATGTGAGTACTTTTTATAAGTCATTGATAAAATGTGCTTAAAGAAAACAACATAGTGACTTTGAAATGTTTCCCACGTCAGTTTATTCTGGTTCCGTGCTCAATTATAAGTACCTACAACAAACTATAGACAAAAACAATCAGCAAGGGATTAATTAAAAAAAATTACCAGAAAATAGTGAACTCAAGAATGTTCAGCTATGCAGCTATCAGACAAGTTACTAAGTCTCAGTTTTCATTCTAACAGTGAGCAATAAAAGAGTCTACTTCAGAAGAGTTAATGAATTTAAAATAAAACTGCAATCTTGGATTATGATTACATTGACTTCAAACAAATCTGAAGGCCTCTCAGAAATTTGGGAGATTAAACTTCTGGATGTGAGGAATCTACCAGAAGATCGAGCAGATCGAGCACAGTTTTGTAAGAGTAAGGGAAAGAATAGGATCAGGAATGGTCAGGGAGATAACAATGAGCTTCCACATAGGCGATTGAGTGGGGGAGGGCAAGGCTTCCATTCCTCTGACAAGAAGGAAAAACATAGGTGAAAGCAGTCTTACCTGCCCAGAGCAGAGGCACTAGTTCAACAGTGTTGGCTGGCTGAGCTCTAAGCAGCTCTGGAGGAACGCTGACTCTCTTAAATATAAATTGCCACTAGACTGCTTTAGGGTGTCTTGTTGAAGGTTTCAGCCCTTTGTTGCTAAGGGTGGTTTATGCCAACAGGGCTGGCAGCTGGAGGTGAGGCACAGAGATGGCATGGCTGGTTGACTCCTAGAACCTGGGCTGGGAAGTTTCTTGGAGGAAGTGGATGTCAGTGTTAATTCAGGATGTTAGAGTTTTTGCAGTACTGTGATCTAAACTGGCCCGGAAACTGGGGAATGATCTCAGAGGCACTATCATTGAGACAGATTTCAGGTTGTTCTGGAAAAAAATGTCTTTTCTCTCCCACTCTGCATTTGTGGTGGCTCCTGATGTAGGACTCTTGGGACTTGATTTCTTGCAGATGTCTGTCTGAGTCCAAAGACACTGTCTCCTGCAGAGGCAGCCTCTTGGTGGTTTTTTTTTTTCTCCTTTTTACTGTTCTTATGTTTTAGCTCTTGTAACTCTTCAGACTCAACTTCTTTAAGTGGATAAATTAGTAAGGTAGAATTATTTGAGTCTGTGTCCTTGCTAGAGAGCGGGAGAGAGAGAGAGAGACAGAGAGAAAGAGAGAGAGAGAGAGAGAGAGAGAGTTAGTCATGTCTTGATGGCTACATCTCCACACAGATATTCAAGCTAGATTTATGGTTGTTTCTTAGCTCTCTGTCCACTATCCTTCCTTCTATGTAATAGAAGCTCAGGATCATGTGGGCCTTTGATAGTTTGTACGGAGCTTTAGTCCACTTAGTTTATTCCCATTGACATTTGGTACTTGGGTGTTTCACACAGCCTGAGAAACCTAACCTTTTGAACCTGGGTTCTCACCTTGTCAGGGAAGAACTAACAGCCCAGAGATCTCAAGTGCTAACCCCCAATTCTAGCCCTGTATGATCAGTCTAGCCACATAAAAGCCTAATTCATTCCTGTTGTGCTGAAATATGAGAAAAATATCCCAAACTCCACAATGATCCTTATCCAAATTTAATTGATAAAACTAAGAAATCAGAATAAAGCCATAGAGCTGGAATTAGAATTTAGAATATATGCTGTACATGCTGTACATCTGGTAATAATTAACAAAAGAATCAAAGACATGCAATGGGGGAAAGGATAGTCCTTTATAACAAAAAGTGTGTGAGAACTGACATGCAAAAGAATAAAACTGTATCAAAGATATACCACCCACAACAAATAACTTGACATTTAAGAATCAAAAAATGTAGGGGAAATTCCCTGATATTGGTCCTAGCAATGTTTTTTGATTCATAACATCAAAACACAGCAACAAAAGCAAAAAATCAACAAAGGAAAAGACACCACATTCCAAAAGCTTTTGCAGAGTTTAAACAAGATCAAACTACATGGGAAAGAGGAAGAGAAAATGCATGCAAAACATTTTTCAGATAAAGGAGTAAAGGGACCCAAAGCTCAAGAGAACAAAACTGATTTATAATTTTATTAAATAATGGTCTGAGGACCTGAATAGACATTTTCCTAAAGATATTCAAATGGCTAAAATTATGTTTAAAATTATCAAAACAACTAGTTATTGAGAAAATCAAAATAAAAGATATCACAAAATACCACTTCACATCATTTATAGAATTACTATTAAAAAGATGAGGCAAAAAGGACATGAAGAAAACAAACCTCTTTGTGAGAAGATAAACTAGTATAGCCACTAAGAGAAACAGTATGAAGATGTCTCAAAAAATTAAAAACAGAAAATCCATATGATTTAGTAATCCCACTTGTGCTATTTCAAAGAGAAACTTCACCCAACGTTCATTGCACCACTATTCACAATATCCAAACAATCAAAATACATCCATAAATGAATTAAAAGATAAAAAAGTATATCTATATATTCACAATATATATCAGTTACTATACACAGTTATTTAATTGTAACAAGGAGGAAGGAAATCCTGCCATTTGTTACAACGTGGATAGACCTTGAAGTTATTTAAGCTAAGTGAAACAGTTAAGTGGAGAAAGGCCAACACATAAATACAAATGTACAATAATATTGAGTCTAAAAGAGCAAACTCACAGACTCAGAGAGTACAATGATAATTTACTTGGGCTGAAGGTTTGGGGAAATAGGAAAATGTTGGTTACAGGGTAGACAAAAAATAAAAATATATTGGGCAATTTATTCAGATACACTTACTGTTCCTCAAATAAGGTATTTCTAGGATACTGCAATCTCATTTCAACCATGCCATCATGGTACACCATCTCTGCACTTCCCCTTCATCAAGGCCCTGAGATCAACTTAAGGATACCAGCTACCTGTTATTAAATCTTATTTTGTTTCCATAACCAGAAACTGCCACATTGATCACCCAAGTCTTCATTCTGAATATCTTTTGATCTTTTCTGTTTCAGGCTGTTTGAAAGTTATCAAAGTAAAACGTTAATGGAGTGGGGAAATATAGTTAATTTGAAAGAACTCATCCATCATCAATCCCTCTCTTCACAGGATCAATATTCACCACATGTGATATTTTTCAAAGATTCGGTTGATGCTTCAGGTGGTAGTTCCTAAGAGAGATGAAAACATTAACCTTATCACTTCACACCCATCCAGACAATTATTATTAATAATAAAAGAGGAGGAGGAAGAGTAGAAGGGTGTAGAGGAGTAGAGGAGAGAAGATGAAAATGAGGAAAACCAAATACAAAACTATAAAAGTAAGTGCTGACAAGGATGTGAGGAAATGGAAAACATTATGCATTGTTGGTGGGACTGTAAAATGATTGCACTGCCATGAAAAACAGACAACGGTTCCCCCAAATATTTCAAATAGAATTTACATATAATACAACAACTCTACCTCTGGGTGCATAGTCAAAATCATAAGGAAAGAAAGCAAATTATGATATATGCTAAAATATGAATAAAACTTGAGGACATGGTGTAAAATGAAATATAACAAAAGGAAAAGGACTATATGATTTCACTTATATGAGGTCCCTAGAATTGTTGGATTCAGAGAGCTAGAAATTAAAATGGTCATTTCCAGGGGTTGAGGTATGGACAGGATATAGAGATTTGGTGTTACATGGGTAGAGACTTTCAGTCTGACATGATGAAAAACATTTCAAGAGCTGGATGATGGTGATTGTGGCACAATCGTGCATGAATTCAATACATTTGAATTTTATGAATTTTAAAACTACTCAAGTGCTATATTTTACCATAGTAGAAAAGCGTCCTGAGAAACAGCAGTAAGACTAGAGAAATGCTTTCTGGGAGGCAATAAACAAAATTCACTTTAAGTACAAGTCCTGTTCCTGTGTAATTGTGCAAACTCTGTGTCTTTTACAGGCTCATCTGAAAAATCACGCTAAAAGACTACCCTAGTGATTCTGCTCAATATAAAATTTTGGTTGTCACATGAGCACCAACAATTCCTGCTGTATGTTTCTCCGGGGCAGACTATGGAGTGCATTCTATTTTTCTTTTCAGAGTTTTCCTATATTTCCCATGGGTTAGCCTTGGACATAACCTGTTCATGACCTGTTCACATCTTCAAAAATAACAGCAACTGGGAGGGAGTGAGAAGTAAAGGGTTTCCGTGGTACACTAAAAACACCTAAATAGGTGCACCAAAAACACCTAAAAAGTGAGGCACAAGTGTGGCCTATGGTCTATTGGAAAGACAGCAGGTAAAGTTCATTCATATTTCAGATTGGGTAAGGATGCTAAGAAGAAGAGCAGTAAGGACCAAGAAGCATTGGTGGGTTTGTCCAGCTCTCAGGAGGGCATTAGGAACATACAGTTCACATGAATAATGAGATTCTAAGCAGGTGATAATGAAATAAAAGGTGTCCCCATCACATGAAAGGCAAGTGGTAAGCTATCACATGGGAAGAGTTATAAAATGGGAGGCATGCCACATTTTCGCTTTTGTTATTAAGAGTATGCCTTTGTAAGGATGGCTGGGAACCTCTACACCAGACTGTTAACAGTTATCTCAGGGAAATGGAAAATTCGAGTCCAATTGTCACCTTTTTCATATTTGGAAACTTGTTTTTTTGAACTGGTAAGGAGAAACAAAAAATTTTATGTTGAGAAAAAATAACAGTGAAAATACTCAAAAAAGAATATATATGTATCTATATAATGATTACTTTTGAATGCGAATTATGTTATAATAGGATAAGTTGAATATAGTTTCTATATTCCTTTTGCTTTAAATTTTTAAATTATGTGAACTATGCTACACAAGTGTCATAATTACAGTAAAAGTCAGACTTTTGTATGTGTGTGTGGGTGGTGGTGGTTTGGACCACAGTGAGTGCTCAGGGGCTACTCCTGACTTGGTGCTCCTAACCGTGTGGTGATGGGAACTGAACCCAGGACTCTTCATGTATCTGTGCATAGAGCAATCTGACTGAGATTTTTTTTGGGGGTCACACCTGGCGATGCACAGGGGTTACTCCTGGCTCTGCACTCAGGAGTCACTCCTGGCAGTGCTCAGGGGACCATATGGGATGCTGGGAATCGAACTTGAGTTGGCCGCGTGCAAGGCAAATGCCCTACCTGCTGTGCTATCTCTCCAGCCCCTCTGACTGAGATTTTGAACAAGGAAGATCCTTTACAGAAACAAGCAGATGTCAGTCTACCAAGTTCAAGATATTCTACAAGGAAATTTCCCCTTGTGGGAGAAGGGGAGGAAGGGGCAAGAGTAGGGCACCTATGGATCTGGTGAATGTTCATCTTCACTCCCCCCCACCCTCACTCTGCCAAAATGTGCTTTGTATAAGGGCAGGTGGCCTTGGTTGCTCTGACTTCCAGCCAGAGACCATTCACTGTGAGTATGCCTAGAACGCCACCAAGCCAGGTTTCTTTTCTCCAAAACTCAGTTATATTATATATCCTAATGTTTTAGGTTACACATTTTTTTTAATTGAATGACCATGAGCTACAGTTGTAGAACTTTCATGTTTGAGTTTCAGTCATACGATGATCAATCACCCACCCCTCCACCAGTGTACATTTTTTCACCACCAATGTCCCCAGTATCCCTCCACCCTGTCACACCCCTCCTCCTGCCTCGATGGCAGACAATTTTCTTCTTTCTCTCTACTTATGGGTATTACGGTTTGCAATACAGATAATGAGAGGCCATCATATTTGGTTTAGGTTACGGATTTGGTTAAATTTTACGAGGAACAGGACAAAACTCTGTGCAACTGTGTGTGTGTGTGTGTGTGTGTGTGTGTGTGTGTGTGCACGTGCAGGCTGGGGGAAGTCAGGCTCTATGGCTCCATTGGTTCTTCAGAAACAGCTGGTTCCACTGTGCGAAATATAGTGCTGGGAACCAACTTTATACTCTCCTTGGGTCAAATCCCACCTCGCTTGCTTAATTTTTATTAGATTGCCCAGATTCTTTCTAAGGCCACATTTCCCCGTAAGTATCTCTTTAACAGCGAGTTTATCTAGAACATACAGAAGAGAGGCTGGAGCAATAGCATAGTGGTAGGGCGTTTGCCTTGCGTGCAGCCAGCCCGGCCGAGCTGGGTTCAATTCCTCCACCCCTCTTAGAGAGCCTGGCAAGCTACCGAGAGTATCTTGCCCACACGGCAAAGCCTGGCAAACTACCCTTGATGTATTCGATATGCCAAACACAATAACAACAAGTCTCAAAATGGAGACGTTCCTGGGCCCACTCGTGCAAATCGATGAACAACGGGAGGACAGTGTGACAGTGTTCATACAGAAGAGAAAGACATATAAGGTAGGCACCAAATAGATGTTTGAGGAGGACCAAGAAAGTCCTAGATTTTAACAACTGACAGTGCAGAGATGGAGAGAATGATTATAACAAGACACGCAATCGGATTGACTACCACTGGCCCTCTGTATTAAGAATTGTGACATTTTATCTCTTCCCAAAGTTTAAGGGCACCATGGTGTATTGTTTGAAAAGAGGCAATATCCATTGTTCCTGTAGAGAATATAGGAATCTCAGAGACAGAGTTTATTGCAGGGATACTTGCTTTCCAGGCTTTGCTCCAGAAGAGGAAATGGGGTTTCTGAGGGAGGTCATGACAGAGGTTCAGTGATTTTGGATGCACAGCTCCATGTTGGGGAAAAAGAGTATAGTGGTTGGATAAAACCATGGAAAGTGATTCATCTAATGTAACGTCTGTGCAGTGTTGAATCTTGGAGCCTCAATCATCACTTAATATTGCTGCTGTCATGAAGACAATGCGAAATGCACTGAGTGAAGAGAGGAGTAGTAAGCCTTATAATTTATCTTTAGATATATACTTCTAAACCCAAATGATTAGATGGAAAAGTATTAAACTGCTAGAAAAAAGATAAAAAGGGCTAATTTACGTAATAGGAATTTGGATCTCTTTACAGACCCAAATTACATTTAAACCCTGGAAAAATAGGGTCTTCACACCCATATCTATAATCACATTCCCAAAACCACAGAGTTTAAATGGAGACAGAAAATTGCAAATGTAAATGAAATCTACAACTTCCTGAGATAAGGAGAGAAATTAACTTTGTGTCTCATAGAAAAATGTTCTCTGGTACATACATGCAAAGTTTAACAACTACAACATTCTGTAATTCCCTAAAGCATCTATGTGTTACAGGATCAGTTTCTATTGTACTTTGTCCTTGAACATGCCAACATGACCTCTCCATTCCATCTTTGATCAGGCTTTTCTCTTAAGTATGCTCACAAAGCTGGGAAGCTTGGAATGTTTCTGCTAACAAAGTCACTAAGTTACAAAGGCTAGAAGCCGAAAATTGGAAACATTCACATGATTTAAAAAAAAATCACAACTCTCTGTACCAGGACATTTTGCAATTGCCATGTCTACCCTGGTGTGGTTAGAATCTGGATGCTGTGTTGACACTGAGAAATCACCATCTTCAGGTATCCTATGCATGTTCTGCCCCTTGTTAACCTGCCCCATTTCTATACCTATACATCCTAGAAATCTGTGTGGGATGTTATTGGTGCACACACTCCATCTCAGTTCCCGTCCCTCTCAGTGTCTGTATTGCAAACCATAATTCCCAAAAGTAGAGAGAGAGTATGGGGAATATTGTCTGCCATGGAGGCAGGGGGAGGGTTGGGAAGGCGGGGTATACTGGGGAGATTGGTGGTGAGGAGTGTGCACTGGTGAAGGGATGGGTGTTTGATCATTGTGTGATTGTAACCCAAACATGAAAGCTTGTAATTATCTCATGGTGATTCAATAAAATTAAAAAAAATCTGTGTGGGAAAGTTATTATTCTCTAGAGTATGCCTGTAATTTGTCTGAGAATGTACTCTTACTTTTAGTAAACTATCTGTATTACTAAAAAAATAAAGCCAACCCTCTTTAGATTATGCTTGCACTGTGATTCTTAAATCCAGGCACTGTTTTAATAAATTATTTTTCACACATTATTTGTATAGTTTGATCTTGAATTCTTTCCTGTGATGATATCAAGAGCCTGGACCTTCAGGGCAGGGCTAACGGATAAACTATGACCACATTTTTTTCATACAACATAATTACACATCAAGGGAAGGGTACTTTTGCTCTTTGGGATCTCAGAGCCACCTTTAGAGGCCCATTGACTTTCCTGGAACTTAAAGTGATTAGTCTCATCTGGCTTTAAACACATATTCCGAGATAAAATATTGAGGAACCATAACACACAGAGCATTTCAATAATCATGCCTAACGAAATATTTCCTAGGAAGGTACGGGGAAGAACAAGAGCGGCTGTACAGGTGAGGAAGAGTGCAGCCCAAGTCTTGCAAGATGGCTGGAGAGTGGCAGGAGGAGGCCAGAGGCAAGGGCCTCAATAAAGAGAAGGTCTGACGAACAGAGCAGCTCAGGTCCAGAAGAACTGAGTAATACTAATGATTTAGGATCAGCATCACTGGGGACTGATGGGTGTAGAGGGTGAAGGACAAGGAGAAGTCAAAAAGAATTCCAGATTTATGTTTGGACAGCTCTGTCCAAGACAAAGATGGAACCTATAGGGAAGGAGGAGATGGGACAGGTTTAAGGAAACTTGGATTTCAGTGTTAGGCTAAATTAAGTTTAAGATTCTGTACAGTCAAATGTACTGGGAGACGGCTAGAAATGAAATGATTCCCAGCAAGGGAAAAGTACCTGCTTGATATAAGAAAAGACCACGACCATCTTCAATCTTTCCATTACGCTTATCTGAGGACGAGGTACAGGCTCTGTGACAACCAGTGACCTTCCCACAGTCACAAGGTGTAATGGGAAGGGTAGGCATGGGGTACACACCTCCTGGGGCTTCCTTCATTCCTAGTGTTCTTTCCACTGGAGATAGCAAGTATGATTGCAAGTCCAAATTACGGAGGAGCTTCTATAGATCCCATGTCATGCCTCACTCTAGTTCTGATATCAGGCTATAGGAGCAATCATGGTTAGAGATGAAGATCTGATCTGTCGTTTACATTAAGGATCTTGGCACAAGAGTCTTGTTAGCTACGGGTGTGGGCAAAATCAGCAGGGAGGGAGGAGATCAGGGGAGAAGAGAAAGCTCTGCAGGCATAGTGAGGGAATGAGAAAGGAGGGACTGGTTGACTGTCAAACACAACTGAGAGATCATGTCAGTGTAGCCAGAGTTTATTGGTATGAGTGTGTGAGAGCTCCTGAGTGGACTTTTGGAGACAGTTTCTGTAGAGGGTGAGTGGTGAGTTCAATACCCAGTGCTTAGAGTGTTCAAAAGAGGCAGGAGAGGGGAGAGATACAGTCATGATGCACGGGACACCTAGGAGAGAGGTAAGGAAAGTTGTAGGATCCCACTGAGAGGTGAGGTTTATTTAATCAGGATCTCTGTGTGTGTGCACATGTGTGTTATAGGTGTTTGCTGTAGTAAAGGACTCAAATGTGAGGAGCTAAGGAGAGAGGCAGGAAGAATTGGGATCATGAGCAGAATCCCGGCAGTGGGATGGGCCTCTAGAGCTGCCTTGGATGAGATGAAGCACATGACAAAAAGGGTATGTTAGGCAAGAATGTCTCTAAGGATTTCTCTACCAAGGACAATGAAAGCTGCCATTTACAGACTATCCATGAACTCCAGAGGTACTAAAATGTTTTATGGAAGTGCCCCAATCCTTTCTCAAAATTCACCTTAGCTCCAAGATCATGGCTCCAAACAACCATCATGTCCCTTGCTGGTCCCATGGACTTGGGTTTTGCCTCTCTCCAGGTGTCAATGTTTCTTTATTGACTTTGTTTTGGCTCAACTTCTTGCTTTAAGCAACCCCACTGCCTCCAGTGAAAATATATTCATCATAGTCAGTGAGAACCGCTCCTCTTTCTGCCCCTTGGCCCCAACATACACATTAAGTTGAGAACAGGCAAGTTAGCTAAAGGAGAGAGTCAGATGAAAAACTGGCTCCAACTGCAACTTACCCTCATTTTTGCTTTCTAGAATGGATGCTTATGAATAAAACTTCTGCAGATACACCATTGACTTGAATGATTTTCTAAATAGCCAGTAAAATCATGTTGGGTTTGATATTAGAACCAAAAAGACAAGCAGCAGGTAGAAGGTGTGATATTGAAGGACTAGCAATCCTACTAGGAAGTCATCCACTTCTGCGTTCCTCCCCCAGAATTTAGAGATCAGGCTCAACTCAGAAACAAATTAAACAAGTTCAAATAAATAAAATTCAGGGAATTCAAAGCTGAGTCTACTTACGGTTTCATGTAGTCCTGAAGTGGGGGTGACTTTATGTGAGAACAACAGAGAGCATACTTGTTTTGGCTGATTTTAATAAGTGAACTCCGAGGGCAAAATTCCTGCAATAATGTTAAAATAGTTGACTTAATACAAGTCAGAAATGTTCATCATACGGATATAACATCCTAAGTAAGGCACTAGCCATTGTCCATTCAGGGTGACGTACACACCATTTTGAACTTGGGACCTAATTTGATCATCAAGGTCATGGTGAATAAAATGCCAGTCCCTGTCATTTCTCCTGCATCACTTGCTAAGTTCATGTCTACAATAATATGCAGCCCTCCTAGCACTTCTACACCTTTCTCCTCCTTCCCCCCAATAGCTATTTTCCTTTTCACTTTTATTTCAGTCTTGGTCATCTCATTCCTGGACTACCACCCCTTGCCCAACAAAACCCATAAGTCTCCCTCAGTTACTCCTATTATTTACATATCCATCCTTCAGCCACTATTGTCTCTGACGGTAAATTTCAAAGTCATTCCTGGATCTAAGTATCTGCCTTAGGGATCCTGTGCCAACTGTCCACACACCCAAGGGATAGACCCAGGAACATCTCTTGAAATGTTCCTTGGTTTCCTTTCTCATTTCTCGCCTTGTAGCAGTCCAGAACAACACAATAGGTCAGAATATAACCTCTATCTGCCCTCTCTGTTTGCTGCCTTCCTGTTACCAGATAGCTGCAATACTGTCAGAGATATGCCCTGAATTTGTGGGACTCTCCCATTCTTCTTCTATCAAGATTCAGTGCTTCAGGGCCACTAGTCCTGACAGTCTCTACTCTTTGACTGAATTCTAAGATTAACTGACCATGGACCTCCTTCAGGGATCTACCTCAAGCAATTGTTAAGAATTAATGGATGTTTTATTCTGACATTAGGCAGACAGGCATGGAAGTTTTGCATGCACGTCATGAGCAAGATTGTAATAGGATGAAATCCTATTACAAACAAGTGTGCTACTTAACTTCTTTGCTTCAGTTTCTGTATAAGAAATGAGGACTGTTATCATATACACTCAAAGTACTCTAAACATTCAGTGGGTACATTCTGAGCATTCAATGAATGTTTTGTTTTGGGATCACAACTAGTGGTATCCTGGTATTTCTCCTTGCAGTGCTCAGGGAACTATGCAGTGCTGGGACTGAACCTGGGTTTCCTACATGCAATGCCTGTGCTGTAGACTATTGAGTTATCTTTCTGGATTTAGCCACCAATATTTTGTTTTCTGTTAGTTTTCATGCACCAATTATTTTCTTGGCATATAAGCAGCCCATCAAACAGCATAAGTTTTTAGAGGCATCATTCATTTGGGTAACTATAGAAGCAGCTAAAAATCTTCTCTTCACCAGGGGCTGTGCCAGAAGTACAAAGATTAAAGGTTTCAGCCCTTCAGCCTCTGTCTTTAAGGAACTGGGATCCTGGCAAGGAAGCCAGCAGTGAAGTGCATCATATTGTTGGCAGGGAATGACCTTGGGCAGGACAGAATGGGCTTAGCAGGAAGTCACACTTGGACACTCTTTGGAGTGACAGAAGTATTTGTGGGAAGAAGAGGGGAGGACAAGCCTGAAAGTGTGAGAGTGTGGGGACTCAGTTGGGAAGCAATGTGCCTTTCCACACTCCCAGGGCAGGTGATGGTGAGGCTGGGACCCACTGTGTGCCTCCTTTAGGCTGATGAAAAAAGCATATCTGGATTGGGGATGGGTATTAGGCAGTTCAGAGATGGATAGAATCATATTTGTAAATGGAGAAACACATTTCCCCCCAGGGAAACACACACACACACACACACACACACACGACCAGCAGAGAACCCAAAGCAGAAGCAGGGCAGTCAGTGTGGGAACAAGTTGTGAGAACACTGATGACATTAGGAATGGGAGTGGGGTAGAGTCCCCTATAGCCAATGTGGCAAAAAGCTTAAAGCCGGTTGGTGGAGAAATCAGGTAGCCACTGAGGTCTGACCAGGGCAGGTTTTATGTTGTGCCATGGAAGGAACCAAACACAAGTAAGTGGAGGTGAGGGTGGGGATGGATACAGTCAGGGAAACCTTCAGGCACTGCCAAGAGGAAAGGCAGAGGCCAACAGAGCTAGTTTCTGCTGTGGGCTACTTACTACTTACTTGTTAACTTCTTTACCAAAATCTACTTTATTTTTAAGTAATTACTTCTACTTACTTTCCGGTTGTTGCATTTCAGAACTGTGTAGAATTTATCTTCAGCCACATTCTGATTTGGAAGTGCTATGACTATGGCAGGGACATAGAAGTCAAATCCATTGGGAGTCACAATTTTGGCAAATACATAATCTCCAACCTACAGATGAGAACACATTTCACAGCCAATGTTTGCATGCACATCATATACTCATGTAGTTTTTAAAATAACCCTAACTGGCTAGCATGTAGTAATATTAAACTTATTATTAATTTTTTAGGTTAAGAGTTAACAATTTCATTAAAAAAGAGTTAACAATTTCAAAATTTTGATTTGTTGGATCACACCTGGAATTTTATGATCATTTGGGGTCACCCCATTTTAGCAGGACATCCTGGCTAATTAAGAACCTGGAGACAATTTGTAACAAAGTGAGTAGTATTGGGAGGGAGATCTTGCAAAGATTGGTTGGATTGAAGAAATCTTTGTTTCACAGGAACACCATGAAAGGTCTGAATCACTGTACTCTCTGCAGTCTGCCACTTGTCATATTGAGCAGATCAGTGTCAGGGGAAAGTAAACAGATATCTTAGCTGGACAGATGGCAATAGACACCCCAGCTGACACCCCATGGGTGCTTTCCTCTTGCTTCACACTCCCTAAGAAACAGAACAGATATATTCTCCTCTCTGACCTCAGTGCAGAGATAAGGATAGGTATGTGGACGAGTACAACATAGCTTTTGTGAACTATAATCAGATGAGTCCACAGCAGCTCTGTCGATGGTGGAACGCATGGCCAAGTGTAACTGTATCCTGCATCAAGGTCTCACATCAGCTGACTGCAGGCTCAAGAGCAGCATTTCCTCAGTGCAAGCCCTCCACAGGAAATTAATCAGATAGTGAGCAATGCGTCTAACAGTGGCTGTAGGTTTCTCTGTGATTTGGAAGGAAAGAGATCACTGGGAAGGTACCTGGAGCAGTGGGCAGGGCATGGCGCCTCCCACAGGTGTGATGAAGGAGATGGGCACAACCTTGGTGTCTCCATACCTGAAATCTACCAGTGCCTGGGTAGGGTTCACACACTTCCTTACAACTCCTGCATGGAATTAAATAAAAAAAAGGAGAGATCCAGACTCTTGGTAAAGAACTTAATATTAGTATGTATAGTTAAATATATAATATATAAGTAATTACATAATATATAGCACTGTAGCACTATAGTACTGTCCACCTGTTGTTCATCGATTTGCTTGAATGGGCACCAGTAATATCTCTATTGTGAGACTTGTTGTTACTGTTTTTGGCATATCAAATACGCCATGGGGAGCTTGCCAGGCTTTGCTGTGGAGGCAGAATACTCTTGGTAGCTCGCCGGGCTCTCTGAGAGGGGTGAAGGAATCGAACCTGGGTTGGCCGCATGCAAGGCCGCATGCTCTACCCACTATGCTATTGCTCCGGCCCATATACTGTATATAGTAAATATATATATATAAAATTTATAAGTAAATACATAACAATGTCTGCTTGAAACTTATTATAATGCTGTTACCTTGATAAAAATGAGTTTCTTTTGTGAGAAAAATTAGGCAAATAATATCCCATCTGGTTGGTTGTGTTGAGTTACAACACTTTGTTAAAATTATTTCACATTGGTCAGCTGGTGAAGGTCACCCAGGCTTTGTCAATGTCCTTTCCCAGCTTCTTATGACATTTCTCTCACTTGAACTGCTCTTGCCTTAGTTTCCCTAGCCTCCTAATTTCTCCATCAGATGATGCTGGATTCTGTACAGTGCAACCTGAGGCTGGATCAGTTCAACAGGTGAACTGCAGTGCAGTCTGGGGACTCCACTGAACTGAAAATTCCAGAGAAAGTGAGAAATCTGTTTCTTCAGGCTTACCAGCAGTCATCCTGAGGGATCACTGTTCCAGAAATATCCTCTCCTACACAAATACTACCCTTGGATTTCTTGTGGAGGCCTGTATCTACTTATTTTTTATTTGTATCTGCTTATGCCTTTTATCTTGCTGTAATACTTAGAGAATATTGAAGTTAAGAAATGGTGAAAGTTGAAAGGAAATAGGAACTCCTTTTATTAAAAGGAACTCTTTTACTAAAACATCATCAGTTTTAATAAAAGATCACTGGTCTGTCAACATGAACTTGGCCATGAGCATTGATTCATTCGAATGCCTAACAACCAGAATCAAACGTTTACATTTGAATAGATGTGGTTCACTGCTGGCAGTTTCTATCTTCGTTGTCTACGCACCAACATCTAATTATAATGAAGGAGAAATTGAGAAGTTCTACATGGAGCTTGAGAAGTTCTATAAAGAAGACCACACCTTCTACAAGATCATTGTGGGTGATTTTAATGCCAAGATAGGACCGAGAAGATCAGCTGAAGAACTTCACATCGGGACACATGGCCTAGAATGGAACAAATAGGGTGAGAGACTATCTGAATTCATCATGTCGACCAAGACCATCCATGGTAATTCACAGTTCCAGAAGGCCGAATCTAAACATTGGACATGGGAGTCTCCTGGTGGACGATTCCACAACGAAATAGACCACATCATAATCAATCGACGGTTTTGCCTGACCGATGTCGCTGTTGTCCCAAAATTCCAAACGGGATTGGACCACCATCTCCTTCATGCAAAATTCTACTTCACAGAGCGGGGAGAAAGGGCTGGAAAGTTTAAGAAGAGAACTCCCAGAACAACCACCAACTGGGAGCTCTTTGGCACTATTGCGGCAACATGGCAAGATGCCATTGTTGACAACATTGACGAGAAATATGATCGACTGGTTCAGCACCTCCATGATTGTGCAAGGAACGCCAAGAGAGAGATAGCCACAAAAAAAACGCCTGTCTTCGAAAACTCTTGAGCTTATTCGCCAACATGGTTTGGCGTATGCCTCAGCAACCACAAGAGAATGTCCGAGCTCGCAAAGCAGTGCAGAGATACGATCAAGGAAGACCTCAAAGAGAGAAGAGCAGAAATGCTGGTAGATGCGGCAGAAGCCAGGAAAAGTATTCGTAACGCCCGCCTGTCCTTTGCCAACTACAAGACCAAGATGACTGCCCTCCGATGTCCTGATGGATCTATCACATCTTCCAGAACAGCAATGGAGAAGATTATCCATGACTTCTACTCGAATCTCTTCGATAGCCATGTCCACTTGCCGACATACCAAATTCCACAGGATGGATATGTCGTCCCCAAAGTTCTCCCTTCTGAAATCCAACACACCATTTCGTCAGTAAAGAAACGAACAGCACCCAGCCCAGACAAGGTCAGACCTGAACACCTGAAGAACCTGCCGTCAGTACTCATCAATACGCTGACTCGGCTCTTCACACGCTACCTGGCTGAATGCAAGGTTCTGTCCCAATGGAAAACCAGCAGGACTGTACTACTGTACAAGAAGGGAGACATCCATGGCATTGGCAACTACCGCCTGATCTGCCAATTGTCTGTCATCTACAAGTTGTTCACTCGAGTCATCCTAAATAGGATTGGCAGAACACTAGATGAAGGACAACCATGCAAGCAAGCCGGGTTCTGCAAAGGATTCAGCACCATCGACCATATCCACACGATAACCAAGCTCATTGAGGTTTCTCGGGAGTTCAAGATGCCACTCTGTCTAACATTCATTGATTTAAAGAAGACCTTTGATTGTGTTGAGACGGAAGCAGTCATTGAAGCCCTAGCCAATCAGGGCAATCAAGCTCAATACATCAAGATCCTCCGTGAGCTGTATTATGGATTCACTACCAGGATCTCACCATTCTACAAAGAAGTAATCATTGATGTCAAGAGAGGGGTTCGGCAGGGTGATACCATTTCACCGAAACTCTTCAGTGCCACCCTCAAGAACATCATGAGACGACTGGAATGGAAAGGAATTGGAGTGAAGAGAGATGGTCAGCAACTACATCACCTCCACTTTGCTGATGACATTGTTTTAATAACACCAAACATTAGCCAAGCAGCACAAATGCTGGTCGACTTCAACCGTGAGTGTGGAAAGGTCAGACTACAGCTGAATCTTACGAAGACAATGTTTATGAGAAACAGCCTCATTACTGACGCCCCATTCACTCTCAATGGAACGACCATCTCTGAATGCAACAGCTATGTGTACCTAAGTCAAGAAGTCAACATGACAAATGACCTGGCACCTGAGCTGTGCAGGAGGAAGAGAGCAGCTTGGAATGCCTTCAAGAGTGTCGAAGAAATAGCTAAGAGGACGAAGAACCTCCAGCTTCGGGCACATCTCTTTGATTCCACTGTTCTTCCTGCATTAACATATGCCTTAGAGACCTGGGCCCTATGCAAACAGGATGAGAACGCTATTTGGGTCTCCCAAAGAGGAATTGAAAGAGCTATGCTTGGAATATCACGTTTCACTCAAATGAGAGAAAGAATCCAGAGTTCCGACCTCCGTCGACGATCAAGAATCAGGGACGCTGTCTCGTTTGCCAAGGCATCAAAAATCAGATGGGCTGGTCACATAATGAGATTTAAAGACGACCACTGGACTAGAGCTGTTACCGATTGGATTTCACAGGATGTCAAAAGACCGTATGACCGCCCACCTACCAGATGGTCAGATTTATTCATCAAGATCATGAACAATCGGTTTGGGGCTCTTCATGTTCCTAGAGTGAACAGACGCCATTGGACTACACTAGCACGTGACGGGGACAAATGGAGACATTACTGGCGCCCGCTCGAGCAACTCAAGGATTAACAGGAAGTCAAGTGATCAAGTGATCAACTACCTTGTTATCATCCTTGTTGTAATAACCAGGGATCACACAGTGGGCAGAGGTGCTTGTAATGCTGTTCAGTTGTGTTCATCAGGGGTAGCACCCTTGGTTTCAACATGCCTGCAATTTCACACCTTTGGTGAGAATCTTCCAGGATCACACTTTATGTGGGGTGATGCCAGAGATCAAACTCATGGCCTCATTCTCCAGGCAGGGATCAACCACAGAGCCACATTCCTGTTCTATGTGTGTTTTCTCTCTTGTAGTTTGATTTCTGCAATATTTCTGCAATATTCTCTTGTAATTTGAATTCTGCAGTTATACAATGATCGAGTACCCATCCCTCCACCAGTGCCCATTCTCCACCACCACTGATCCCAGTATCCCTCCCACCCTCCATTCCCCCACCCCCACATCCCACCCTGCCTCTGTGGCAGGGCATTCCCTTCTGTTCTCTCTCTCCTTTTGGGTGCTGTGGTTGATTTCTGCAATATTCTTAACATAATTTAACATCTCCTATCATAAACTGACTTTACTCTTAATTAGGAAACACATATTACATTTTAGAAAAAATTCCCATTATGTGAAGAATAAAGATCCATTCCTATTTGAGGGTTCCACATCCTGCACTTCATTGTCTCTCACCCTCTCCCTTCCACAGGTGGGGGTCTGGGCTGCCAGATGATATGATAAATGATGGCTCCTTTTCCACCACTTGCCCACCAACAATGGCTGCTTCTCATCTCTTTGACATATGCCATTCTGAGTTGCATGAGATGATGTCTCATTGTCTTTTTAATTTACATTTCCCTGATAACAAGTGACAATGAGCTCTTTTTCATATGCTTACTGTTGACCATGTGTCCTCTTTGAAGAACTGTCTATTCATCTCCTCTCCCTATTTTTTGATAGGGTTATTGGTATTTTGTTGTTGACCATTTTTAGGGTTAAATACTAGCCCTTTTTCTGTGTATAATGTACAAATATTTAATCCCATTTAGTAGAGTAACTTTCAGTTTTATACAGTTTCTCTTTCTATGCAAAACATTCTTAATTTGATGTAGTCCTGTCTATTTTTATTTTTGCTGTTTTTACCAACAGAATCAAACCACTACAGACACTTCTGAGAATCATGTTCTTGATAGTCCTATGTTTTCCTCAACGTATTTTGTGTATTCTGGTTTAATATTGAGTTCTTTAATGTACTTTAATTTGAATTTTGTTTATGGTGTGAAAAATAGAATCTATTCTCATTTTTTTTTTGGCATCTGGCTATCTAAATTTCCCAGCACCATTTATTGAAAAGATT